CACCTCTGCACCTGACCGGAACTGGATGGGTGGAAGCTGCCAGCATGGCAGTGGGAGATTGGACCATGTGATGGACTTGTCTGTGTGTGGGCAAGATCTTGAACTTTGAACTGGGTGGGGAAAACCGGGAAGCTTTCAGATTCGGGTTTTCCCAGATGTGCCAACATGTCTCTCTTAATAAATTGGAACTTTGAGCAATATTTTGCCTCGGACTCTGGTTTACTTTTGGATGCTATTTGGAACCCTGTGTTACTAACGTAACCACTGCTGTGATTCATTTAACCCCCGTGGCAAGAAAGGTCGTAAAACGGGATGAAACTCACTGACTTGTGTCACTTAGCAACAGAAATTTTAGGCTCCATTGTGGTTGTACGCCGAGGGCTACCTGCAATGTAAACTTTCCTTGTTCTTCCGTAGGTCATGGAATATTTATTTGCCAATCACATGGCGTTCTATTACCCAGAGCCAGCAGACAAAACTCAGCACATACGATCCAGAATCTGGACTTCGGAGTATGAATCCTTCCTCCCAGATTTGTATGACTATCCAGGGTCTACAAACTACTCATCGGACACAAGGCGTGTTTGAAATATCCACTGGGAACCCTTTTCCAGAACCACATTCGAAGTAGGACAGCTGAAGACCTAAAACTTTCTTTTTGTGCTAAATACGACGGAACTGGGCGCATAACCGACAGTGGGTTTGCTCCCTCGGTTGGCCTTCCTCTCTTCTGAGGCGCATTCCTTTGGATGCTTGGGTTGTCTGCAAGAGAAATGAAATGTAATATATTTTCTATTCTCCCTGAGAAGCTAATTGAACAAATAAGAGAAAACCCTTAGTTCTTTTTTTAAAACTTTTATTACCGGTCTGCTGTGTGATTAAGGTTTTTCTGTACTGTCTCATTGATGTCTGTAAGCTGCATGGGTTTACATCAAATACCAAATTGAGAACAGATGTTAGTAAGTTAAGGAAAGAGATTTGGCCTAGCCTGCCTTCTTCCTTCCTTCCTTCCTTCCTTCCTTCCTTCCTTCCTTCCTTCCTTCCTTCCTTCCTTCCTTCCCTCCCTCCCTCCCTCCCTCCCTCCCTCCCTCCATCCCTCTCCCTTTTCCTCCTTCCTTCCCTTATTTCTTCCCTCCCTCCTTTTCTTCCTTCCTTCCTTCCCTCTTTCCTTCCCTCTTTCCTTCTTTCCCTCCCTCCCTCCTCCTTTCCTTCCTTTGTTCCTTCCCTCCTTTCTTCCCTCCCTCCTTCCTGCCTTCCTTTCCTCCTCCTGTCTCTTTCTATCCCTCCCTCTTTCATTCCCTCCCTCCTTCATTCCTTCCCTCTGTCCTTCTTTCCTTCCTTTATTCCTTTCCTCCTTCCTTTCTTCCATCTCTCCTTCCCTCCCTCCCTTCTCCTTCCCTCCCTCCTTCTCCTTTTTCACAGGAGAAGCATCCAGAAATGCTGTTCTCCCTTTGTAGTCTACAAAAAAACCCCACACCCCTAAATCTTCATTCTGCTGGAAGCATAAACGGACGACCAAATCACTCCATCCCTTTTTATACTGGTTCTGTCTTTCTGCCAACCTCGGTGGCTCCTTGGTAACTGCCCTCCGCACTGATTTTTGTAGCATGGATCGCACGAAGCCAGATTTACCGCAAGGAGAGGTTTTTCCCGCTTCCCTTACAGGGTGGATTCAAACGTACAGCTCTGTCCTTCTTAGCTCTATGTTTTCTTCCTCTCTGGGAAATATCAATCGTGGCCGGCGCACAATGCTGCCATCTCCTGGATCGGTGTGTGTATGTCTATATGTGCTGATATTCCGCACTTGAATAATTCAGCTTTGATAGTGGCACTTGCTGCATATCACTTCCCTGACGTTTGTTAAACAGATGGGCTATTTCCCCGCCTCTCGCTTTGTCTTTTTCAAGTTTTTGTTTTGCTTTTGTTCTTCGTGCTTAAACTGCGACACTCCTGAACTTCATGATGGCTGCTTTCCTCCCAGGTCTTTCTCCGTCTGGATCTAATAATTGGGAGGGAATGTGTGCTTCATTGCTATGCCCTAAGACTAATGTTTCTCAACCTTAATTATTTTAAGATGTGTGAACTTCCATCCCAGAATTCCCCAGCCAGCCTACCTTAAAACAGGCAAGATTGAGAAACATCGCCCTTAAAAAAAAAAAAAAAGACAGACGTCACTCCAATTAAAAAATAATAATTTATTTTTATCTCCAGGTAACCCAAAGGTGCTTTTTTAGGTGGCAACTGGGCTTTCTTCTTTTGTCTTTTCCCCCCCTCGTCCAAGAAGCTTCTTCAGCTCTGACTGGATAGTGGTGAATGGAAGGATTTATATTCCTTGGCAGACGGTTCGTAATCTGCATCTTTTTAGAGGGTCGTTGAAGCACTCGGAGGTTTATCTGTGTCTTCAGGATCACCTGAGTGATGCTGCTGGTTCCTGCAGCCTGCAAAAAATAAGAGAGTCCAGTTGCTGCCTGAAAAAGCACCTTTGGGGCAACCATGATCGGGATGACTGAGAATGACTCTGCAGATCTCCAGGCAACCTTGGTTTGTGACATGCATATTATATATGTCAGCTCTGGGATTTTTTATTTTTTTTTTACCATTTATTTATTTGTCCGGTTGCCTTGCCCTGTTTCTGGGAACCTGTTATTGATATAAAAGCTGCCCTCTCGGATACGTCAATCTTCAATTTGCCTATCCAATAAATTTAAAAAAGAAACGTCAGTAATAATAGCATCTCCATTTCCTCCCAGTTCAATTCTACAGGCTGCGCTGTCTTCTATTAGGGAAGCGAAGCCAGTTGGATACGACAGCGCAGAGGGGGGAAAGTGTACATTGTTTGACGTTTATTTTGTCTTATTCATCGGGGAACGCAAGAGTGCCAAGTGAGGGAAATGCCACTGCAGCGTTTTACTTGAAATGACAACAAAGGGAGATGGTCACAAAATGTCACTGCTTTCCCGTGATTAAATCCCTTTGCCGTCTCTCAGAAACGTCGCTTGAGCGAAAGGATTTCCCTGTGGGTGTTTGACATATTCCTACTATCGTTTCACCATCATTGGAAGTCTGTTTCATACATTGTGCCTCTTAAAGTAAGAACTGGCCCAGTCAGGGGTGGGCTGCTGGGGGTTCGCACGGGTTCGGGCCATCCTCTAGCTAGGATTCTGCCCAGTTCAGCGAACCCTCAAATGCCACCCCTGGCTTAGCTCACCCATCGCCTCCCAGGAGACTCCACGCGGCCTGTTCAGCATGCCAGGTAAATGCAGGGCCCGCACTGAGTCTCGGGGAGGGGGGAAAATGGGCCTACCGGAGGTTCCGGAAGTCCAGAAACGGGCCTGTTTCCAGCCTCTGGAGGGCCTCTAGAGCCTGGGGAAGCAGATTTTGACCTCCCGGAGGCTCGAAGAAAGCCTCCAGAGCCTGTGGAAGGTGAAAAATGGGCCTACTGGAAGTTCCGGAAGTCCGGAAACAGGCCAGTTTCCGGCCTCCGGAACCCGGGGAAGCAGTTTTTGTCCTCTCAGAGGCTCGAGGAAAGCCTCCAGAGCCTGTGGAGGGCAAAAATGCCCCCCCCCTTCTGCCGTGGTGCAGGAGCCAACTAGGCCACGCCCACCCAGCAACAGGGCCGCGAACCCGTTGCTGCAATTTTTGAAGCCCACCCCTGGGCTCAGTGCTGTCTTTTTTCTGATAGCAGGATGGATTTTCATATTAATTTGGCACCCGGAACATTCTCAGACTGAGATTGCGTCTAGATTCAATTTAGAATTGTCGTTTCCGCACACCCAGGACAGCCGCTCGAGGAAGACTAGGGGAGAACTGCTCAATTCAACTCTGTGGGATAACTATTGAGAAACATTACAACCTTGTTTTATTGTGCGCGATTAAAATATTTTGTATAGACATTTACCTGGATCACAGGGTTCCCCCCCACCCCCCACCCCGGTTTGGTTAATTGGGAAAGGACTAGAGTGATGTCACGCTGTCTATCTTGTTTTTTTAGAAAAGTGTCATGTGCTGTTAGCAATGTTTGTTTGTTTGTTTCCCTTTTCTGTATAATGTAAAAATATCAGTGAAACTGTACCATTTTATCTAGGGCGCTTCAAGGTTGCCTTACGTCAGCTGTACCTGCCACAGGGAGGGTGTCTATTTGTAATTTAAGAAAACAAAAAGAAATCATATGGGTGACTTGGTTAGCCAACTTTTAACATTCTTAGAAGACCTTATCTGAGAAATAATTGGGAAAGAATATTCTTGCATATTCCGCTTCAAGGGGTCTTTTGCTCGATTCTCTCCCTGCTTTCATGGTTTTGCAATCATGTACTTGTGGAAGATAGTTGGCCGCTCTCATGAAAACATTTCCTAGTAGTCCAAGAAATGAACATGGGTTGTGTAGTTGACCAGTGCCTGGGTAAACTATATGGGTTCATATTATCCCTCAGGATAGCACAGATGATTTGGATAAATTTATAATGACTTTCTACTTGGGAGTGGGAATTTATACTAGAAAGCGCTGGCAGTAATTTGCTAGGCTGCCCAACTCCGTATGAATTCAAGCAAAATAATATTTTATCCCATATCTATCTACAAAGTTCTGAGTCTGGTTGTCTCGGCCTGGACTGCGGCACCGACAGTGCTGGTCCTGGGATTTCAAGAATCAAAGCCCAAATCATCTAAAGGAGGTTGAAATTTTAAGAAAGGCCCTGAATGCCTCAGTGCTCAAAATAACTTTAGCAAAAGATAGCTATCTGCTGTGTTTAATTGGCATAATTGGCTTTAAACATATAGTCTACGAGCAGTCTCTAACACTGCTTCTCGTCCTTGTCATCTTTTAAGTCACGTGGACTTCAACTCCCAGAATCCCCCAGCCATGCAGAAGTCTGGGAGTTGAAGTCCATAGGTCTTAAAAGTAGCCAAGGATGAGATGAATTGCTGCATATATTATGTACTGTATGTAGTTGGCTGAATTTCAGTAAAGTACACAATTTAGTGAGAGAAATCTGCTTTTAACTGTTCATTCCAGTTCCACCTGCTGTAGATTATTATTATTATTATTACTAATTATTAAGTAGGAGGGGTCTTCAAATTCCAAATGCTCAGAAACAAATGTCATGTGTAAGTATGTTAGAAGTTTTTCATTTTAATCACAGTTTTCAGTTTTTAATCACAAGATTCTCTTTGGGGCACTTAACCTTGTATGAGCTTCTTTTACTCAAATTTGTAATAATTTTTATTGTAAACTGCCCAGAGTCACTTAGGTGAGATTGGCAGTATAAAAATGTGATAAATAAAAATAATAATTTTATGGACGAATACCATCTTTCTCTCCACATATACACAGCCCCCAATTTAGATAGAGGTACTATAATCTACAAAATAGCATAATATCACTTTGAGGAAACTTGAGGGAATAAAATAACTGCCAAATTCTGCATTTTTTTTTCTCCCTAAGAAAAATTTTGTGCCGTTTAAAAGTGTTTTTAATTGAAACCCTGTTCCCTTGCAAATGTATTGCCGTTTGAAAAAAATGGATATCCTGTCTATTCCATTCAGTTGATTTTATTTTGCTTGGGCCTCAAAACCTAGTTTCATTTTTAGCACTTTTCGTTAATTTTGATTCTTTTTTAAATGATGACAACTGATGGTGCAAGTTGCTTTTAACTTTCAACAGCTGTGTTGAATGATTGGAGACCTCTTTGTGAGTAGGATGGAAAATGAATGCCATTCCGGAAGGAAGGGATTTTTTCTTTTTCTTTTTAAAGGTCACAATTTGGATTTTTGAATCCAAGAAGCTGGATGGAGTTGGAGAAGAACTTAGCCGACTAGTAAACTTGGTTTAAGTCTCCTTTAGCATCATTATATCTAGTTCAGTGAAGAACTTGTTCATGCAAGCTGGAAACCAATAAGGCCCTCTTTGGAAAGTTCCTGTTATGTCCCTTGGAGTTGGCCTTAATTTGAGGGCATAGAAGAAAAAGGGACCTTTTTCTTATAGGCCAGTCTTTCTTTACCTTAATCACTTGAAGGTAGGTGGATTTCAACTCCCAGAATTCCCCAG